GACCTGAGCCAGAGTCAGACGTCTAGCTGATTGAGCCACCCAGGCGGCCCAGACGTGTTTGTTAACAAGCAGCAGTGGCCAGGCCTCGAGATCAGCCTCTGCTTACAGCACTGCTGACCTGACCTTTCCCGGGCTGAATCCTGCCTGGTAGCTCAGCTCTGGCCCTAAGGAACCATCTTTTCCCCAGTCAGAGGCTCAAACAGGACCATCTGGTCCCAACTTCCCAACGTTTCGCGGGAAGTGTAAGTACGAGGCGCTAGTGTGGGAAGGGTGACACCGAACAGCTCCTCAGCACAGGCCTTACCAGACCCCTGTCCCCTCAGGAGACATCTCCTTGAAGACAGAAACTCCTGACGTAAGGGGAAGGGGGGCTGGCCTGGCAAGGGTTCTCCTGGTCTCTGCCCAGTCCTGAGCGTCCAATGTGAAATGCCTCCTACACTCTGCGGCAGCGGGAAGGACCGAGTGGTGACAGATCTGCCCAGCCACCCCTGCCCTGACTTACCTGATGGGCTCGGTGGGGTCCAGGCGCCGAGCCTTCTGCTCTGGGGAGAGCTGCTCCCACTGGAAGTGGAGGCTCCAGTCAAACCCTGGAACACAGCACCGAGTCGCTTGATTTGGTCTCTCACGTGTCCCTGCAGAGCCTGCGCAACGCGTCCCTTTTCTGGAAGCTCATGAATGCATCCGGGGAAGCTGGTCTCAGGCTGGTCAGCAAGAAGGCCGCCAGATGTCCCTCCCACAGCTTCTCTTTCTCTACCTCCTACTGCCTCTCTGAGCCTTCTCTGCTGGGCAGTTAGAGGATAAAGGGCAGACGATAGAGTCACTTGTGACAGAGTCCAAGGGGGACAGGATGGGTAGTTATGGGCGTGGCCCTTGGCCAGGAGCATTGGGGAGGCGCCAGCAGGTTTTTGTAAGGGGCTGAGCTACCTCAGATCAGTTTTGGGGAACCAGCACTAGGCCCTGAGCAGAACCTTGGTGGGCCTCAGAGAGAGCATGGCGACCAGTGCTGAGGTGACAGAACAAGTCAGGCCCTGCCTAGCTGGGGGGGGGGGTCCTTGCCTCCCTCCTGTTCTCAGGTCCCAGAGCGAGCCCATATCAGAGCCAGGGCTCTGGGGGCTGGAGGCATCATCCTACACACTCCCCTGGCTGTTCCATTCGTGGCCTCAGTGGTAAGGCCACAATGGAGCCACCAGCATTACAGGACTCAGGACTGGACGCTCCAGACAAACCACCAGCAGACGCTTCCCCCACTTTCCCCCTTGAATGCAACAACCAGGAGGAGCAGCGAGTCCTTGCTGGGGAGGGGTGCTGGCCCTACTCACCACCCCTGAGCTCCGCGGCGGACTCGATGTAGTTGAAGTTGTCCAAGCTGATGATGTCAATCACGGGGCACACCACCCGCGTGTAGTCCTGGAAGACAGCAGACTCCGGGCTCAGCCTGTGGTGCCAAGGAGCCGGGCTGGGAATCAGTGAGCTTGGCAGAGCCTCGCCCTGGTAACGCCAGGCTGGTTTTGTGGCCTTGACTAAGCACTGCCAGCTCTGGATCTTAATTTTCTCATCTAGAAAATGGGGTACCGTGACCTCTCTGGTTCCACTGCCTAAAACGCCAGGAGCCTTTCTTTGACTCCTGGAGTCCTTCTCAGCCACAGTGGCCTTCGGAGCATGGTGGGGACACGGCAGGGGCCAGCTGGAGAGGGATGCACATGAAGAAGGGGGAAAGCAGGAAGAAGGGGGCTCTAAAAGTCCTTCACCATAAGTGGGGTCTCAGGAGGCAGAGGCCACAGCCAGCCCGGAAGGTGACCTCTACCTGCAGTCCCATGAAAAGAAGCTACACACCCACAGGAAAAGCACTTTGGAATTTCCAAATACCTTCATTCTATGCCTACATTTACGAATAGCATCTCTAGACATTCCTAACTTCAGGTGTCACTTGTGATGGTCACAGATCGGTGCCTCCAGCCCTGACTCACCCCCTTCCTTCCAGACTCAGATCCAGTATGCCACTGGCCACCTCCGTGGATGCCCCATGGGCTTTCAGTGATGGCTTCATCATCTTGTCCCCAAACATGCTCCTTTCCCTCGGTTGCCTATTTCTGCTAACAGAACCATCGCGTATCCCTCCGTCTCCCCAGCACAAAGCAGAAAGCTTCGCCTCTGCCCATCACCCGTCGAATCTAACTCTGAAACTGCTCGTCTGAGTGTGTCCTGCCTCCATTTTTCCCCCCTCACACCTGGCGTACCGCAGTGGACTCCTACCTTATCCCACTCTCTTCCCTTCGGCGGCCACCGAAATTGTCATTACGATGTGAAAATCTCACTGTGCGGCTCAAGAGCTAAAAACCTGAACTGCCTGCAAGATAAGGTTCCAACTCCTTAGCCTGGCATTCGAGACCATCAAAACCAGGCCTGTATCTCCCTTTCCGGCTTCCTCGTTTGCTGTATCCCTCAGGCTCCCCTGTCTATAGGCATCAAAGTCATCCAGGAAACATTCTCAAAATATGCAAGACAGAGGCACCAGCTCCTGGGGGCTGTCAAGGTGCTGCATATATTTTTAAAGCCTTCCCTGCTCTGGGTGAACACCCTGTACCTGGCTTGCGGGAGGGGAAGCTGGGGGCAGGGTAAAGGAGATGTGAACATGGAGACTCCACAGCCAAATGGAAACCAAGCAGCCTGGGAGAGCCAGCAGGTCAGGGAAATCAGGTGGGACCACATCTCCAATCCTCCACACCTACCACCTGCTGGCACAGGCAGGAACCTCTGCTTCTCCTTGTCGCCATTTCATTTCCTAGTTCAATCTCTCTCCCAGATGAGGCTGTCTCCTTATTTTAAGCTCGGACTCACCAGGTGCCTGCTTTTATGTTCACAGACTTCATTTGGCCCTCAGCTTCCACGTGTGACTCATCCTGACAGTGACAAGGTACCTCGGAAGGCAAGGGGCCCATGTGGAAAGAAATGCTCATTTTCAATGCATTGCTTCTACTTCTGGGCCGCGCACAGATGCTCCTTCCACAGTCGACACAGCACCTGCCCAGCTGCCACTGCTCTCCAGGCACCACTCAGGCTCTGTCACTGTGCATCTCTGAGTGTGCACACGCACCACGTGCCCACGCACGGCCATCCACACCAATACCTCCCCATGGACACAACCTCAAAGACATCCTTGCGACTTGAATTCTGACATGGTTGCAGAAGTTCGGAGACTGAACTTCTTCTGTGAGTCTGACAAAGTCCTCATTTTGCCTTGGCTTGTTGAGTGTTTGGGTCTTTACAGCTTCACTAAGTCCTTATGTCAATGCTTGTGCAGCAGAGAATTAATCTTGCCCGGAGATATGTTTGGCCCTTGCCCAGCTTCTGGGCAGTAACTCCTAAGCCCTCAGAATGCCCTGCCTAGAAGAGTGTCCCTGTTTCCCTGGGAGATTTGAGATATACCAGACAGTCTATGCTAATAGTGTGACTTATGATGAGGGCCTTGGGTCGTGTGGTACCAACTCAACCTGACCTTCGGAGGGGCATGGAGACCATGGGGCGGGGGGTGGTCAGCCACATCTAGGTGACTGACCCCCAACAAAAAGCCCAGACACCAAGGCTTGGGTGGGCTTCCTGTTCCGAAATGCTCTGTACATGTTGTTATACATCCCTGCTGGGAGAAGTGAGTGCCATGTGTATAATCCCACTGAAAGAGGTCAACTAGAAGCTTGTGCCTGGAACTCTCTATGCACCTGTTCCCACTGCTGAGTTTAACCTGTATCCATTTGCTACACGAAACAGTAATCATGAATATAATAGTTTTGCTAAGTTCCAAGTCCTTCTAGTGAATTACTGAATCTGCGGGTGGTCTGGGGACCCCCACACCGCAATCCTGGTGTTTCAAATCTCTCCTCAATATTTGGAAATTGAAATGCAAAATAAAATGCTGGTTGCTTGCCTGGGAAAATGCTGGTTGCTTGCCTGGGCCACAGCCTTCCCCAGAAGCCACCCAGGGGCTCCGCCTCCAGGGTGCATCAGCTCTGATGCACCGTCCCTGTACGTTCCAAGGGCTTCTGCCCTTCTATTACTCCTATCACAGTTCATATGTGGTGTCTGCTTAGAGTCATGGAGACCAGGTGGGTAATGAGGGATGTTTGGGGCTCAGTGGTGTGTGAAGCCATGTCCTTAAAAAGAGGCTGCAGGAGACTTTACACGTGACCCTTAAAGCCAGGACGCAAATCTGAGTGACTCTGGGGGTCAGTAACTGCTCCACTTGCGCAGCACTCAGCCCCAGCCCACGGCCTGCTGGGCAGCAGGTGTTCATCAGCGTTGGCTCAAGAGGCTGGCTGTTAACTCGCTCTGAGGGTACTATGTCGATGGCTGGTAGCAAAGCGGATGGGTCAGTTACAGTTGAGAAAAATGGCCTCTCCTCCTACAGGCTCAGGGATGGAAGGACTTCCGGTAAAGATACCCAAAGCCACCACAGGTGCTGGCCCGTGAGCTCCAGTTGGCTGGTCTTCAAGGCTAGGCCCACAGGTAGGCTTAAGCAGGCAGTTGGAGGAGTCACTGGCAGGCCCATGGCCTGGACCCCGTCTCCCCCCACCCCCCCCCCAAGTCCATTGGCAGCAATGACAGAGGCTGAATGCACCAGCCAATGGCCATCGATCACCTGTGCGGTACACCTCTCCTTCCTCCCCCCATTCATGTAACTAAAATTACACTGTGAATGGGCACTCAGAAAGCTAGAGAGATCAGTCACTCACTTGGTGAACCAGCTTTACTGAGCACCTCTTATGGTTTAGGAATTGTGGCAGATGGAAAGATGGATACGGCCTCACAGTCTAGGGAAGACAGAGGACGGGCACTGGAGGGTGACGACGGAGCCTCTAAGGTAGGCTGGAGGGGCGGGGTGGGGGAGAAGGAAGGGGTCCTCGAGGAGGGGACAGAAGACCTGGGTTCTCGTTCTGACGCTGCTATCTAGAATTCACGTCACCTTAAGCAAACCAGCACACGCTGAGGAACTGTTTCTTCATCTATAAAGTGAAGACAAATTATTATTTGCCAAACCATCTTGCCTTCCTAACAGGGCTTTTGGGTGGAAGAAGAGAGGGAGGCGTGTGAGAGGCTTTGAAGCATATGTAAGCCATTATTTACATAAATTTACCAAATGCTAAAGGGATTGAAATTTCTTAAAATCTTTTTTCCTACTGAAGAGATATGTAGATAAGGAGCGGGGAGAAAGAGGCTTCTGTTAAAAGAATTAAAACCAACCTGGTGCTTGTTTCAAGTATCATCGTGTAGCTGAAGGGAGGAGACGGGACGCGAGAGAGTTCCTTGTGGAAAAGACCAGCTGAGGACGGTTTCTGACAGCCCAAACTCGGCCTCTCTCTTATCTCTTTCTATTTTTGAAAATCCCCAACTCCAATTACAGCTTAAAATTTCCACTTCTACTCACAAGATCAAATCACGTTTTACTCTGAGACGAGACACAATACAAAGACGTGTGGAAACACAGGCTGACACACGCCCACATCCCTGTCCTGGAAGGGATGTCTCAGTGGAATGTTCTAGCAACAAGAGCCAGGGTCTGGAGAAAACCTCTGCAGCCCACAGAGGCTGCTGTGGCACTCTGCAAGGGGCAGAGCCAGACCACGGCCCCAGGGTTTGTCCAGCCAGTCCCCTGCTACCAAAGCTTTAGATCAGAAAGCGGTGGGGATCCGGAGCTCAGCCTGGGAGGATGAGCTCTATTTGGGGCCAAGTGACTGCCACAGGAGGAGCACTGGGTGGCAAGGAGCACTCACACGCAGGAGGAAGAAACGATGAAGGCTTCTCTGCCCTGCAGGTGAGGCTGACCAGGGACGCAAAAATGAGAGCATTTTTCAGAAAGGGCTTCTGTGATGGCCTCATAGGCACTGCGGTGGAAAGGGTTCATTAAGGTTGTCTGAGGAAAGCAAGGCCCCCTAACATATCCTGCAGGGCCACATTAGCCTGGGGGGGGGTCCTATAGATCAAACACTGAATCGCCACATGATCCCACAATTCCACTCGTTGGTATCACCCCAAAGAATTAGAAGCAGGCACTCAAACTTGCATACTAATGTTCACAGCAGCACTATTCACAATAGTAAAAAGATGGAAACAACCCAAATGTCCATTAGCAGAGGAACGAATAAACAAAATGTGGTACGCAGGCAGTAATTTCTCTGACACTGGACATAGCAACTTTCTTCTCGATATATCTCCCGAGGCAAGGAAAACAAAAGCAAAAATAAACTATTGGAACTACATCAAAATAAAAAGCCTCTGCACAGCAAAAGAAACAATCAACAGAACTCAAAGACAAGCTACTGAATGGGAGAAGATATTTGCAAATGACCTCCCTGATAAAGTGTTAGTATTCAAAATATATAAAGAACTTTAAAACTCAACACCAAAAAAAAAAAAAAAAGAAATAAACAAACAAAAAAACCCAATCAACTAAAAAACGGGCAGAGGACCTGAATAGACAGACATTCTTCCAAAGAAGACATACAGATGGCTCACAGACACATACAAAAATGTTCAACATCACTCTCACCAGGGAAATGCAAGTAAAAACCACAATGAGGTATCACCTCACACCTGTCAGAATGACTAAAATTAAAAATACAAAAAACAATTGTTGGTGAGGATGTGGAGAAACAAACGGGAGCCTTCATGCACTGTTGGTGGGAATGCAAACTGGTACAGCCACTCTGGAAAAGAGAATGGAGGTTCCTCAAAAAGTTAAAAATAGAACTGCCCTACGATCCAGTAATCACACTACTAGGTATTCAAAATACAAAAACACCAATTCAAAGGGATACATGCACCCCAATGCTTACTGCAGAATTATTTACAACAGCCCAACTATGGAAACAGCCTAAATGTCCACTGATTGATGAATGGATAAAGAAGATATGCTGTATACATACAATGGAATATTACTCAGTCATAAAAAGAATGAAATTTTGCCATTGGCAACAACGTGGATGGATCTAGAGTATATTACGTTAAGCGAAATAAGCCAGTTGGAGAAAGACAAATACCATGTGCTTTCACTCAAATGTGGAATTTAAGACACAAGACAAAGGAGCAAAGGGAAAAAAGAGAGACAAACCAGGAAACAGAGTCTTAACTACAGGGTACATGCTACACTGATGGCTACCAGATGGGAG